TATTAGTTTTTTAAGGAAAAGTAGTTTTGCCTACTAAATTCCTGGTGTTACTAATTTTGTTCATGTGAGATCTTAATTTGAACTGAAAAATGTAATCAATGTCTGAAGATAATCATGATAAGAAATATGAAAGCAGCAGACAGCAGCTATGAGCATTCTGATTGGGGTCACTGGATTTTAATACTCTTAACAAAACCACCAGATTCTCAGTTGAATGGTGCCTTTTTAGTAGTAACCTTGTCCATCTTTGTAATTTAAGCTTCTAGAAAAGTGAGGATATTAGGTTTCCAAAAAAAGTGTCTTGATAAATGAGCAGGTTTTCTTTATGGACTTAACAAAATGAGTTTATCATCCATCTTCAAGAACAACTGCTGGTGATTGTTCAGCATGTAGCTTCCAAATAAAATATCTAAGTCACAGAGCATTGTGAAGACTTTCTATCATCTTGTGAAACAAGTGCTAGGCAAGAGTAAAATAGGTGCAGGAAAATCAAGTTAGCATGACATTTCCAGAAGGACCTTTTTAGCTTTGCTCAGTCTTCCCCACCCTCCTATCAAAAGTGCCATCTAGTGGAATATATTGGAACAAGAAATCCCATCTCTCAGGACTGTTATTTTTTAAAAGGTATCTATCAAAAACAAAAACAAAACCACAAAAACACACCTCCTTTCCTACCATTTTAACTTCAAATTGTTGTAAGATTTTTTAAATATATTCTTGAAAAGAGGTTGGATTAATTTTAAAATTGCTCTTATACTGTTCATGAAGGTCAGAAAGCCAACAGCAAGAAAACAGAAAATGCTGATGGCAATCCATTTATTTGTCTACATTAATTTCCTGGGAATGCTAAGACAGAAAAAATTTTGAAAAGCAAATCTTCACTGTATTCAAAAAACCTAGCAGCTAGTTGATAAAAAAAAAACAACAACTGTGAATCAGACACCAACTTTCTATATTTTTGGTGGTTGCAATAGAGGCCAGAAAAAAAACTTTCAAAGTAATATTTTTGGTTTATTTTCTGAAAAAGTACAAGTTAGAAATGCTTGAGATATAGTTATGCAACAAAACAGGGTTGGAAATTTCACTGATGAAAAATGAAAATGATATTTTCTGGTGCTTTTGAGGAAAACTCTTACTAATGATCAGAAAACTTACATTGCATAGACAAGTTATGTTAGTAGCCTCAAGTTTTTCCATTGTGGAGAATGAACATGTGAAACCATTTTCCTAATCACATATCTAAATGTGCTGAATGCACATTGTAAATGGTTTGGGTTTCACATAATTTCAAAAGTCCTCCTGGTAGGAGAAACCTACCACACTTTAAACATTAAAAAAATTTTTTTTAAATGAGGAACATTCTTGGACTTGTATAACACGTTTAGTTTCATGTGGCTGTTTCTTCCCACAAATACGGTGGAATAGAGATGATTTAGTTGTGCCATTCAACCTTTCCTTTGGGTCGGGGTTTTGGACATGAACATACCTGGCCATGTTCAAGGGGACCATGCAGTGTCAGGGATCAATTAGGGCCACAGCAAACACCTTAACCCCTGTACTATTTCTCTGGCCCTCTGTGTAACCTTTGAAATGGCAGCTGTTTGGAAGTGCTTTCCTGTAAAAATTTTTGACTGTATCAAGCTTAGCTGCCAGAAGATTTCTGATTAATCTGTCAATAAATCATGTTCTTCAAACTGTATATATGTACATAATAAATATATATCTTTGAAAATACTGTTCTTTGAATAACTGTTTTCCCCTAGAATTTCCTCTATTCACTTCCCACTGATTTGCAAATAACTTTTAGAGAGTGAGAAATCAAGTAACATCTTTATTTTCATAGGATAGACACTTTAATGTGTCATATAGAAAATGATTCTTTTGAATTCTCTTAATATCTCAGAATTTATAACATATAAATATTATTTCCCCCCAAATTGTTCTGTAGTTTCTTATCAACATAAAAAGTAATCTGGCTTCTTAACTTTTAACTTCATTCTTTCTTAACTTTTAACTTCATTCTTTCCAACTATGCAACAGAAGCCTGATTTTGTACACTGTCAAACACTCTCAGATGCTTTTCATAAAGAGTCAAGCTGTCACTTAGAAGTACTTCTTTGGAGAAAATTTTAATATTTATGATATTAGGATGCTTACATGATTTAATTTCTACAATGAGTGAGAATGTCAATTACTGATTTGACAGGCACCATTTTTGAGAAGCAGCTACAGATAGTTTAAAAACTCAATTTAAATACATAATTTAAGGTTCAAAATGCTTGGTACTAGTTAAGCATAAAGATGGGTAGCACCATATCTTGAGTCAGTCTATAAATTTCTCTATGAAGAGCAATTTGTTTTAAGATGTTAACATGCTGTGCATTCTAATTTTTTTTTTTTTTAGTTTTAATTCACACTCAAAGGCTGAGGAGCTCTGTTCTTAAGTGACTGTTGTGACTATTTTTAGTAAGTCACCTGGGGCTAAATGAAATGCCTGTCATTCACAGCATGTGTTTCCTGAGGAAAAATCATGAGAATACAGGGTTAAGAGGGGCCTTAAGTTTCTTCCAAAACAGGTTCTTTTCTAGTTCACATCCACTTCAAAGGAGAGACAACGGGGGAGGTTCCAGAGCACTAAGTTCTACAGGTTTTTGAGAATTGTGTTCTAGAGGTCATAGGGTTATTATTACCCTTTGCCACATGATACCTTATGATGCCAAAAAGGACAGGTTTCTACTCTTTTAAAAAGTAGGCTGGGGACCACCCTATCTTGCACAGCAGTTCCCATGATGCTTGAACTGTGCATAAAATATCCTATAGAAACATCACCACATTCTTGTACCGATCCTCAAAAGAAATTGAAGTGTGATTTGAATCTATCAGCATAGAAACTGCTTCATCATAACCCTGGAGCAGAATGACCTTTCCAGCGAACCACTGCCTTGCTTTTGGCAAAGATTTTGGAGGCCATATGTCACAGAAGAATAGCTGTATTCAGTATGTTCGCATTCTGCTAAATGCTTCAAAGTGCCTTAAAGGCAAGGGTGCTTGTGGAGGATTTGGATTTTAGAACTGGTGACCCTCGATATTAAAAGACATAAACTAAAAGGGTAATCACTCAAGAGCAACAGCTACACAGATGGAAGAGCAGGGCACAGACTCTTAAGGAAGTATAAAAAGGTTGAGATACCCTCTCATTCTACCTCCCAGAGGATAATTTGCCAAGTTTCTAATCACCAATATGTTTGTGCTTTAAGTTTCTTAAAAAAAATACTATGGAGAAAGGAACCAAAAGCATATGGTAGAAATAAAAGCTGAGTTTTCTACTGTTTAAAATTCTCAAGAATGATGAGAAATTCCAGTTTAAAACAGCTGCATTTTTCTTGAGTAAACTTACAAATGTTTTTGCAAAAGCACAAACTAAAGTTATAGTCAACAAAATTATGTATACTAACTAAAAAACCTCGCAATAATTCAGTGCAGCAGTGAGTTTTAAAATTCAATTTCTAGACCCCCAGCAAAGAAGATCTTTATATTTTGACCCCATGAATGAAAAAGCAGAGCTCCTGTTTTGAGGTGAGACTGAAAGTCTACCTTGCATCGAAGGCTCTGAGTTCATTATATCTCAAGCATTTACAGTGATGGCAAAGCATGACCAACGTGTCACAATGAAGAAAGTTTAAAACATTCTCATGGCCCACCTTCTTATTCATATTTTGTTTTAGAAAATTCGATTCATGTGTAAGTGATAGAATTAGAAGGATGCTAAAAAAATGTATCAAGAAAGAATAGTCCATGGTCCAAAAGCTCTCAAGGAGAAGCTTATTCAAGATAGTCATATGCAATATTAAATTGTGAAGAATTAGGCAAGGCTTAGCAAAGTAAAAATATAAAAATGATCTGGAATATTTTCTACTAATAGCAGTTTGCATTCTTTGAACCTAAATGTGGTTTAATTGTTGCATACACTCAAGACTCCAGCAATAAAGCCAAGTTGGCTAAACTTTCCTGAAGACAAGAAACATGTGTCTTCTCATTAGTAGAGCCAACTGACCACTGACTGAACAATAATCAGGTATAAGGCAGAGATGGTGTGTAATATTAAGTTCTACTGAGCGAATGGCAATAGGAAAGTAAGCTGCATACAATGCTCAAGCCAGGCTAGCTCTGCAGAGAGCAGCTGGTCACCAAATACTAGTACAGCCTGAGGGACTGATAAAAGATGACTATATAGAGTAAATATATATATATATTTTCCCCTAAAAAATAGACATTTCCTTAGATGCTACGCTGGCAATAAAGTCTATAAAAATGTAAGACACTAAGTAACAGTAATCTATGTGCTGGTGATAGAAGCAGTCTTTAACTCACTAGGTAGATAACAACAGAGAATACCAGGGAAGAAGACTATATCAGAATGAGTACATAATGGGACTCTGACAGATGCAGAACTGGAGGCCTAAGCCGTAATTGGAATCTAAGTGTTTACGAAAGGTTCGCTGAAGGAAAGAAGGCAGGAGGTGCCTGGGAAGAGCTTCAGCAATGTTATTAGTTACATAATGGCAGTATATTTTAGAGGCGCAGGGGGAAGAGATAAGACGAACACTTTGCAAACAAGACAGTGCATGGTAGAAAAGTACAGTGTAATAGATGCGGAGGGTTTAAACAGCATTCCTGTCTCTACTCAAGGAGAACTATTTTCCAAACCAAAGTAGGAACAGTTTCTGACAAATTCCTAAAATGAAACAAAAACTAACCAACCAACCAACCAACCAACCAACCAAAAAAAAAATCAACAAAAGTATAAAGGGAAATAAATCTCAAACCGGGAAATAAAGGCTTTCTTTTTTTTTTATGATTTTATCTATTTGAGGTACACTCCCTAAATCTACCGTAAGTAACAAAAAGCTTATAGGGTATTTTTCAAAAGGAACAATAAAGCATATTATATGAGTTGAAATGAACTTAACAATGAGTAAATTCAATTTTTGGGGGGAAGAGTAAATGGTCTTACAAAAAAGTCCCAAATCCTGAAAGATACTAGAATTTTTTTCTTTTTGTTGCATATAAAACTTCTTCTAGTGAGCTTTTTACTAATGATTTTACTGGTTTTGGCCAGAAAAGAAATGCTCAGGACATAGGCTCAAGTTTCTAGCTTGAGAAGCCTGTTATGTTGAATCACCTTCAGTCAACAGATGCTGGCTATTTATCGGTCACTTTGCATCTTTACAAGTCAATTATTCTGGTTGTTTACAGAAAGCCACACTTTAAGAGAGCAACACACACACACACACACACACACACACACACACACACACACACACACTCAGTCCAAAAGTACCAAATCAGGCTCTGGCAGCTGCAGAGAGATTACATCATAACTCAGCTGTGCCTGGATTGCTCACTTCACACTGGCAGCATTCAAGGTTTAGAAAAATGAAATGGCAGCACAATTTGTCAGCAGCTTCTCTTCCTCTGGAATTTTTCCAGGTTCTTGAAACAAACAGATAGACGAACAGACACACGAATAAACATAAAGCTGCAATCACACTTGCATTGATTTCAAAACAGTAAACTAGGTGGTTTCCTTGGAGAAGCAGAGCCCATCCAGCAGACAGGTGGCAGCTAGAAGGTCTCCAGCTAGTGATCCTCAACAGCTCTGTAAGGCTTACGAGGGTGACCCCATCAGCCATCAGTGGGTTTTCTGGAAGACCAGCTTGAGGTAGCAGCTGGGACCTCAAACTGTCGTCATCTCTGAGCTGTTCTGGCTGGGTGGCAGATGGGAATCCAGGTTCTCCTTGAACCTCTCCAGGTCATGGAAGTATGGATGCGAAAGGGCACCATAGGCAGATATTCTTTTGGCTGGATTAAATGTTAAGCACTTCTGTGGACATAGAAAAACAAAACTGATTGACATTAAAACATGACGGTTTACAGTGCTTACATCGTTAGAGATCTATTCTCTGACATGTACTGTTTAGAATGAGTATTGATTTTAAGGGACACTAAGCAAAATGAAGTCAGTATTCATCTATGAGCCCCTAATGTATAGTGTCTGTGAACATTGAATTATCTATGTAGATTGCTTCCTGCCTAGACTTTCTCTATACCCTAGATTTCAGTATAACTTTCATAGTTTAACTATAATCTAGAGTTTACGATAACTTTTTTTATCCATTGACAGGATAAAAAAAAAGTTTGCTTTGTTCAGGTGTGAAGGGTAGTTACTTAATCAGGGTGCTGAGTGGAGAGAGCAAGCAGGGCAAAAGCTTAAACCTGACTTTTCAGTTCCACTAGCAATGCTGCCCCAGGGCTGCCCCAGCAGAGGATGGACTGTCTTCCTCCCAATTCACATCAAATGGCCATATGGACCACCAGCAACTCTACGAAACATTAGGCAGAATGGTAGGAAGAAAGGTCAGTTTCTGGAGCGGCAAACTCCATTCCTAAACTATCAGTATATAATTAATAAATCAGAGTAGTTCCTCTTATCACTTCTTCATATTCGTGTTAATCCTAGGTGAATCATCTAATTCTTCAAAACTTCTCCTCTTATCCTCCTACCCATTGTCAGTGGTGTGTCCTATAGACAATGTTGTTTGCTTTCATACTGCACTTTCTCCTACCCATGCTGGAGTTAGGAGATATTATGGGATGTCTTTGCTTGTAGCCGAACGGACGTCGTACTCAATTTGCTCCTTGCTGCAACTTGTGATTATAGTCTATGAGGAATATATCATTCAGGGTTCTTGTTGAGAATGAAGGCCTCTGGTGACCATATTTTATAACAGGGGAACCCCTCCCCCCCAAACACCAGAGTGCCTCCTCAGTAGCAAACTTCTAAATAACAAGCGAGCTACCAAGTATGAATTTGTAATGAGACTTTGTCTAGGTGAATATTTTCCCTTCAAATTTACTTATTTCAAACAATGTAGGCTGATATAGGTAATGTCTTAAAAATAAACAGAAAGTATACACATATTCCTGCCATACACATATTCCTGCCCTCATAGGCTGTGGAGGTAAATTTTTCCCTAAACAGCAGAGAATGAATGGCCATGCAGTGAAGATGGGGTGAGAGCTTTCACTGGGAAAACCAGTGCCTAGGTTTAGATGCTGATCAGTGGCCAGGTTCACACAGTGTCCAAGCATAACATCCCTGCTAAAATCTAGACAACTGTGCCTGTATTTGAAATTCAGAAAACAAGGACAGAATGAGAGTACTGGCTGCTCCAAGTAGAGAAGCATTTTCTTGGCGAGGTACCAAAACTTGCTAATTCAGAAGGTAAACGATATACCCCTTGTTCACTGGATTTCAAGTATCAGTAGCAGCCCAATAAGTACAGTCCTCTGTCTACTGCTCTGATCACCGAGTAGGGAATATATAAAAGGCTAAGTCTTATGTTTTTAACAGAAATTGAGCACAGCAGTCCTTATTATTATAGTTTCAGTTGTTGGGTCATATCTGGCTTTGCTCAGGGATTACTCCTGGCTTTGTGTTCAGGGATCACTCCTGGCAGTGCTTAGAGGACCATTTGTGGTGCCAGGGATGGAACCTGGCTTTACTATGTGCAAGGTAAGTGCCCTACCCTCTGTTCTATCTCAAGGGCTCCAAGAAATCCTTATTTTTTAGTGAGGTATATTCTAGTCTGTAGTTATGAAATTGTAGCACCATCCTCCCGTTGTTCATCAATTTGCTTGAGCGGGCACCAGTAACGTCTCCATCGTGAGCCTTGTTACTGTTTTTGGCATATCGAATATGCCACGGGGAGCTTGCCAGGCTTTGCCCTGCGGGCAGGATACTCTTGGTAGCTTGCCGGGTTCTCCAAGTGGGATGGAGGAATCTAACCTGGGTTGACTGCGTGCAAGGCAGAGCTGTGCTATCGCTCCAGTCCTAAACGGCATGTGGTCGTCCAGGGTTCGATTCCTCCACCCCTCTCGTAAGCTACTGAGAGTATCCCACCTGCACGGCAAAGCCTGGGAAGCTACCCGTGACTTATTCAATATGCCAAAAACAGTAACAAGTCTCACAATGGAGACGTAACTGGGCCCGCTCGAGCAAATTGATGAACAATAGGAGGACAGTGCTACAGTGCTACAGTTATAAGATAAATGAAATATAATTCTATAGTTTCTTTGTAAAAATATTTTCCCAAAAAAGCAGTGGAAAAGAGGACCTGGAGGACTGGTCCATGGTTGGAAGTTTGCCAAGGTTGGGGGAGGGCAGTTAGGACACTCCAACCACTATGACAATGACAGTTGGAAATGATCCAATCTGGACAAAAACTGAGTGCTGAAAGGAAGTAAAGAGATATACATGATAACCTTTTAGTACCTGTAGTGTAAACCATAATGCCCAAAAGGAAAGAGAGAGAGGACATAGAGGCAGGCTGGGGGAGTAGTGGGTGGGTGGGTGGGTGGGTGGATGGTGCATTCAAATAAACACATACTAGATTACCTAGAGTAAGAGTGCATGAATCATGACCCTGTAATAATACTTCTGGGAATATATCCCAAGGGTGCAGAAAAGCACAGGCATCTGAAATGACATCTGCATCTGTATGTTCATTGCAGCACTGTTCACAATACTGCCTCTCAGTATCTGTATTGCAAACCATAATGTCCCAAGGTAGAGAGAAAGTATGGGGAAAATTTTTTGCCATAAAGGGATTGGAAGGGTTTTGATGGGGGGGAATACTGGGACAATGGTGGTGGAAGATGTGCACTGGTGGAGGGATGGGTGTTCCAGCATTGTATGACTGAAACTCAAACATGAAAGCTTTGTAACTGTATCTCACGGTGATTCAATTAAAAATACTATGGAAAAAAAAAGTGCATGGATCACTGGTGGTGGGACTACAGTAGCTAAACAACTATAAAATAATTTCATTCTATTCTAAACTATCAAACCCCAATAAAACAATTTAAAAAAGTTGATCAGACACTTTCTATGGTTTTTATTTTGTTTTTTGGACAATACCCGGCTGCGCTGAGGGGTAATCCTGGCTTTGTGAGCTCAGGGAACACTTTTGGCTGTGCTTGGGGGGCCATGTAAGATGCTGGGAATTGAACCCAGGTCTGTCACATGGAAGGCAAGCGCCCTACCCGCTGTACTGCATCTCTGACCCAGGGTCAGACTCTTTCTAGAGGAACTAAAGACAATAGTGAATAACGTCCCCAGCACAGGTGCGAAGAGGAGAGCTGCAGAGACCCTGTGGGGTCATGGCACAAAAGGCTGAAACCAAGGATTTTGCCTCACATTCACGAGCAACAAGAGCAACCCTTTCATCAACACAACTGGCTACACAGACAGACTCACAGGCATAGTAGCTGGACTATGACTGTGCAGTCCACGAACTTACCAGCAGTAGGTCTTTGCCTAGTTCATCAATATCTGCTACAAACTTCTCAATTGGTTGAGGAGATTTGGAATTAAAAGCCTGTCGGGGAAGAGCAACATCTCTAGGCCAGTCTTCTTCTCCTGGGAGTCCAATTACGCTACAAAAGAGCCGCACAGGAACACAAGCATTAGCAGCTATGCAGACGCCATTGCCCACCAAATTCTAGAGGAAGATTCACTCATGAGGGTCAGAGGACAAAGGGCACCAGGTGCTGCTCACTTGTATAACCAGCTGGAGTAGCCCTGAGCATTGTTAGGTGTGACCCCAGAAACCTATCGACCATTTTTTTTTTACTCTGAATTTAAAAATTATCGATTTGCTCGAGCGGGCCCAGTAACGTCTCCATTGGGGACTTTGTTGTTACTGTGTTTGGCATATCGAATACGTCATGGGGAGCTTGCCAGGCTCTGCCATGCGGGCGAGATACTCTCGGATACAATATAGAGCTACTCAAAAAAACAGCCATGCTATTTTAACTACTGTTACAGTGACAACGGCCTGGATGGTTAAGGCTGTATCTTCTTAAAGAGGACTAATGCTCAGAAAGGGTTCTCCTGAATGGGGTGTAAATGGTGTAAATGTCAAGGGATCCCTGGAGGGCTTTGGTTCTCTCCTATTACCTCACTAGGTAAGGTCACAGATTTTACTCATGGAAGAGCAGAATCAAAATATCGTAACTGTACCTGTCACTGTCCCTGTCACCATAGTGAAAGACACTATGGTGGTCCCTGAGAATACTGGGGGAGCTGCAGATAAGGAATTTTTCTGAAGACCTTTGATAATCAGATTGCAAGACTAAACACACACACTCTCTCTCTCTATATATATATATGTATAAAACACTACTTATATATAAAACACTACCTATATCAGCTGACATTTTATATATATATACACACACACATATATGCACATATATTCAAAACTAACATTTTAAAGTATTGATTATAATCAGATCAGACAGACTCACAGGCATAGTAGCTGGAATAAATGAACAGGAGCAACAAACTGGGTGACATACAAATGTGTTTAATAGCAGGATCGAGAATAAGTGCAGAAGGAAAAAATGCCTTTTATTATCAAAGGAAATAAGTATATATTTGAACAAAATTAGATAAAGGAAGAAAAGATAGCTGATTAAAGTAGTTAATTTAAAAAATTTCATTCACTTAGCTTTATAGAGATTAAAAAAAAGGACCACATCCATCAGTGTTTGGAGGAGGAATATTCCTGGTGATGCCCAGTCTAGCAGTGGGGGACTGGGTGACAACAGGACTACACCCAGCAGTGCTCAGGGGAAGGTATGTGGTACTGGGGATCAAAGGCCTTTCACATGCTAAGCACCTGTTCTACCCCCCAGTTCTTTTAGCTATTTTTATATCAGTATTTTTGCAGTCACCTAGAGTTTATAATAATTACTTTAAAATGTTAGCTCTGAATATATGTATGTGATATATATATAGAGAGAGAGAGAGAAAGAGAGAGAGTTTAATCTTGCAATCTGATTATCAAAAGTCCTCAGAAAAGTAAGGTTGTCTATGAATGTGTATCATTTTATATACATACACAACTTTATACATTTATACATATAAAATTTTAAAAGACTTAAAAAATTTCTCTCCGTCTCTGATTCCCTCAGTCTGACTTCCTCAGACATGTAGGAGGACAGGCACATTATTCTGAATGGGCTATTCTTTTTTATAACAATGCTAGGGGTCAAACCCAGGGCTTCATACATGAGAAGCATACACTATACCAATGAGCTCTACCTCCAGGCTCCTGTTATTTCCATTTTATAGATGGAAAAATTGAGCTTGAGGAATGAAATGAGTTTCCAATATCACCAACTATATGTTCAGTCTCTGATTCCAGAGTAAAATTAAACACAGTTCTCCTGATTCCAAATTCAAGACCTTGTTTCCATTATCCATAATTTTACTTCCCAAATAAATCTAAAATAAGCTAAAAGCACTTAATTTTACTTTCAAAGTATATTTTCTTAGAAAGTATCAATTTTAGGGCCACAGAGATTGCTCAATGGGCTACTGCATAAGTTGTATATGCAGGAGACCTGGAAATAGATACCCAGCATCTCCTGGGCCCAAGTACTGCCAGGAGTGGACCTCCCCTCCCCCCCTCGCCTGACACACACACACAGGAGCAGCCCCTGTGCACCACTGGTTATTACCTAGAAAAAAAAAAAGCAAAAAAAAAAAAAACCTAAGCAACATTTCCTTTGCCCAACCCCTCCCCCACCAAAAACAAAAATCCTATCAATCTTTAGATACAGAAACCTTTTTCTTTATTGGAGAAAATAAGTAAGACTTTCCTTTAAAAAACATTCCAGTCTAATATACGTTAATAATATTCAGCTTAAAATTTAGTATGAATTTTTATGGTCCATTTATGAGTGTTGTGAAGTTCTGATAGGCCCATTAAAAACTGCTTGCATTAAACTTCAGTATTTGGACAGCTGAATATAGGCCTTAAAAGCTGCTATTTGTGTTGGAAAGACTGACGTCACAAAATCTACAAATGGCAGTAATGGCAGGGGCAGAAATAATTTTCAAGTACTTCAGAAATGACACTAGGGTGCAGCATTGTCCCTTTTCTCTAAGCCAAATGCATGTAGAAGAAATACACTTTCAGTGACACAAGGACAGAAACCAAGTAAAATCTCAAGGCACAAAACATATAGAACTTTTACTTTTTATGGCTTCTCTTCTGTGGGAAACCTAGACTCCCAGGTTTTTGACCCGAGAAGAAGTAGTTTTCCTTGGAAGCAAGTCAATCATGCTCATAAGCGTTTCCTCTGGTCTTATCTATGGCTTCGAGGATTTAGGGGCATCAACAATACTAGCACAGACTGCAGGGGTGGAAGCTGACAGAACCCCACCAAGGTGGTGCCGGCAGGGAATGCAGTAGGGAAAGGACTTGAGGATAGGGCAAGTTGGTCTCTGTAAATAGCATTTTTCCTTTTATGAGAGCATTACTGGAATGTCTGACTTTCAGAGTTCCCTCTTTAAGAACATGTGCACATAAATACATTCAATAGTGATGGGGAAGCACAGTGGGAGTTTATCACTCCATGATCAAGGAACCTGACTTCCAGAAACAGAGAGGGCCATGGAAGTTTTATTCTGTACTTGCCTACCTTGCAAAGTGGGCAAGTACTCACCTAGTCCCAGCTGTATGCTCAGTGGATCGATCCTCATGGTTCTCTGGGAACCAGGTGGTGCCAGAATTGGAACCAGAATCCACTGCATGCAATGTCAGCACCTTACACACTGTACTATCTTTCTGGACCCGTAAGAGTTGATATTTTGAAACCTTACGAGCACTGTCTAAGACCTTTATGTGGTGCTTTAAACAAATTTTTCAAGAGTGTAAAACCATTCAGTCGCAGCTGTAGGATCAGGATGAGGATTCTCATTTCCTAGTTCTGACTTCTCAGGGAAAATAGATAGTGTAGCATACCATCCTGTGTCCAGAAAAAGAAAGCTGTGCAAACCATCCTGACTAAGAGGACTCAGTACAGGATGGAAACTTAGTGGGCAGAGCATGGGCTAACTAGGGCACCAAGTGCCCACCTCTGGTGGTGGATCTGAAATGAGCTCAAACAGAAAACACTACGAATTACTTTAAAACTGGAGCTCAGCAAAGCGAAAAAGGAGAGCAGCAAAATGAACCACGTAAGCAACATACAAACGTCCAGAGCAGAGCCCTTACACACACATCAGGAAGGGCTCTGCGCAGAGCAGCACCAAGTCCCCACTCACCACACAGTGTCTGCAGCAGCAGCTTGGGGCAGGAAAGATAAAGATAAACATATTACATGAGCAGCAGAGGAAAAGTCACTGTAAATGTTTGAAAAGTATAGACAGTAAGGTTAAAACTAGTTGTTACTTACTCCAAGATTTTTCCTAGTTGGTCAACATCTGAACTTCCACGAAAAAGAGGCCTAAAAGAATAAAGGTAAGTATTAAGCAAGGAATTGTCTTAGGCTACATTTCAATCATATTTGTCATTACCACTGTTAAATCGGAAGCAAAATATTCTTTATGGGTGGGGAGGAAGTACACAATTGAGACATCTTTCCTTCGGAAAACGAAATTCTGCTGAATGGATGTTGTTTGCAGGCAAGGTTATAATCCCATCTTTTTCCTGAGTGTGTGTGTGTGTGTGTGTGTGTGTGTGTGTGTGTCTGTCTGTCTGTCTGTTTGTCTCTGTGTGTGGTGTAATCTAATCTCCTGAGGTTTGTGTTTATGCATTATGAGTTCTAGTGTGATGGTAAGCTGCAGCAGTGGCTTATGCCCTGAGTTTTGCCTTTCAACCCCCTTTTTAATTTGTGTCCTTCACATGTTTTGCTAGCTCCCTTGTGCATTTAGGTAAATGCCTATGTCTTTTTTTTTTTTTTTGCTTTATGGGTCACACCCGGCAATGCACATGGGTTACTCCTGGCTCATGATGCACTCAGGAATTACTCCTGGCAGTGCTTGAGGGGCATATGGGATGCTGGGAATCGAACCCGGGTTGGCTGAGGGTAAGACAAATGCACTACCCGCTGTGCTATCACTGCAGCTCCACAAATGCCTATGTTTTATGTTCACCTGTGAGATGTTTTAGTAGAAACAGCCAAAACCACAAATCTCTATTTTTTTGTTGGGCTTAGCATATAAAATGAAAAGTACTAGCCATCTGTGAATTAGAACTGGCCCATCAGTTAGGACTTCTTTAATGAGTGTAGCAGGCAGAACATCTAAAACTTAACTGCTCTACTGCGGCTAGTGAGATCTGCTAAAAACCCATAAGAAAGATTTGCTCCATAGCACAGAATGACTTTTGCCTCTTCAGAAAGACCTGATAAGTCTGAAGTCTATGGTTTAAGTTCATAGACCCAGTGGACCCAGACTGCATGCATTTAACTCCTATGAAATGAATGGGCTGAAATCTATTGTCTCAAACAATAGAAAGAGTTGATGTGAAGGAGGGAACAGGCCCAAGTGGAAACAGGTAACCCCAGGTGTCCAAGAAGATGGTTATCAATGTAATCAAACTCTTAAAACCATTTGTTCACATTGATAGAAAAATTGAAATAGTTTATATATATATTTTATGATGGAGAATACGACGCATGTCTTAAACACAGAGAGGATGAATGCAGAGGAAGAAGGAAAACTTTCATTAGGAGGAACACTCACGTGTGCCATGTTGGAGTATGAAGATACTAGAGTTAGACTACCTAGAATCACCCCCAGGCAACTTGTATGATACTGATACTGTCTTTATTTTGGTTTTGGGGCCACACCTGACAGTGCTCAGGAATGACTCCTGGCTCTGTGCTCAGGAGATCACATGCAGTGCTGGGGGCTGAACGTGGATTGGCCTTGTGCAAGGCAAGTGCCTTAACCTCTGTGTTATCTCTCTGGCCCTATAACCTAACTTTAAATGAAAGATTCTTTGACAAAAGAGAAAAAAAAGGTATAGTGCAGGACTATTTCACAGATGAAACCTTATTAATAACAGTTCATAAACCATGGTGCCCAAAATGAAAAATGAAAATAAAAAAATGAATGAAAATCTTTGATAAGAAATGTTGGCTCTACCAGGGTTCTCACCTGTGTGGACCATGTACCGAAGCAAGAAACATAGTAGGATTTTCATCAAGATTATTCCGAGTAACCTCTCTCCTCAGATTAAACACTCTTTAATTCATGTAATTTGACAGATCCGAACATTAATCTCTGATCCTTTTCTCGGGTTTGATGGTGAGGGAGAGCTTAATTCTACGACCCTGAATAATTTTGTAATTTTAGGAATGATTCAGCAAAGACACATACATGTGAGTCGGACTTGACTCATTCATTATTATTATGACACAGAGCTGAGCAGGGAGAGAGTAGAGATCTGGAGCAGCACAGTGAGGGAGAACACAAGGAGAATGAAGGAAAACTTAATGGAAAGAGACTGAGAAATGGATAGCAACAACCTGCGGAATCCAAAATATCCTTGAAAAGAACTTCTTTTCAGTGAAACAGATTTCTTCCTATTGCCTGCTAATCTACTTCCTAGAATCTCTGCGGGAAGAGTTAAGATGAAAAAGAAATGGCCCTTTACATACATACTATGAGTCAGGAGCTCATAAAAGACAAAAGGCGGGACCAGAGTGATAGTCCAGCAGGTAGGGAGTTTGCATGCAGCCGACTTGGGTTCGATCCCAGGCGTCTCATATGGTTGAGCATCGCCAGGAGTAACCTCTGAGCACTGTCAGGTATGACCCAAAAAGTGGAAGAAAAGAAAAACAGAATGAGAAAAGGCTTTGTAGTTGTTTTGGGTACTGCAGGGAGGGGACTAAGTTCTATCATCTTGCCTGTTTTTAGACATTCCTCTTCATACCGTGAAACTTCCTAAATCTGTTTACTAATCTTTAAAAAAAAATAAGCAATAGAAATAACCTATCAAGGGATCGGAGACATAGGATCTTAGGTAAGGGGTCTGCCTTACACATGTCTGACCTAGGTCTGTGCTGACATCTCATATGGTCCCTGAATCATCCAGGGTGATTTCTTGAATGCAGAGTCAGGAGAAAGCCCTGAGCACAGCTGGATGTGCCACCTTCCCTCTCCCCTCCCAGACACACACACAAATCTAACTAAGGATTGGAAACCTGAAAATTATTATTTTTTTAATAATTTTATTTATTGAATCACTGTGAGAGCAGTTACAAAGCTTTTGAGTTCAAGTGAAGATTATTTTTTTAGTTAAAAAGTTTCTTATATACATTTCTTATGGTGGGGGTGTTAAACATCGACAATAAGAGAAACGACAAAAATTACCTTAAATGAATTTTTGAATTTTCAGCAGTTTGCCCCAAATGTTTGGGCAATGTTACACAAACATCTGCTAAAAACCTTTGGTGAACCTAATTTTTATGAATCCATTTCTAATTTTAAACACACATTTATTTTCTCTTCATTCTGCTTACGGTCCTCCTTTTTTTAAAAAAAATTTTTAATTTTTATTAGTGAGACACCATCAGGTACAGTTGTAGACTTACAAATTTTTGTGCTTGGGTATCAATTATACAATGATCAAATACCCGTCCTTCCACCAGTGCCCATTTCCCACCACCACGGATCCCAGTATTCCTCCCGCCCCCCATCCCCCCCATTCCCCCCTGCCTCCCTCTGTGTCAGGGCATTCCCTTTTGTTCTCTCTCTCCTTTTGGGTGTTGTGGTTTGCAAAAGAGGCATTGAGTGGCAATCATGTTTGGTCTATAATGTTTTGTCTATAGTATACTTTCAGCATGCTTTTCCCATCCTAGGAGGATCCTCCCAACACCCTTTATTTGGTGCTCCCTTCTCTATCTGGTCCTCCTTTTATACTCCAAAGAATTTCTACACTCTCATGTCTCAGGACAGTAACAGTTAACTGTGTAAACTCTTGTCTCTCATGACCCGTGTCTCTTTCTATTTTGAAATCTCACAAACTGTACAGTCGCCTGGAAAGATTTTGCCATGCTATCATTTGGAGCCAATATATGTGACAGGATAAACAGTACTTGGGGAAAACATGTGAATCTCAACACTGTAATGAGATTTTATAAAAATAAAAATTTAGGTTAGTTCCAAGTATTTACTTCAAATATCTTCTTTTTTACCATTACATTTGATAATAGGTAATGGTGGCATGGCATGATAAACACTATTAAAGAAAACATTTAAAGCATCTTTTTTTCTTAACTAAAAGGATGATACTGCATAATACAATAGCATTATTACATTTATTTCACATTGTAACAGTCAATTCTCTTCTATCATTCTGGACACCATCATGACAAAACAAGATGGATCTTGGGTTTTTTAAAGTTTTATTCAATTTGTGACTTAGTATCCATCCAACCTCCACCCTGACTTGAACATACAGGATTTTTTAAGGATATCTGGTGACTGGGGAAAGAACATAGTCACTAGTGATAAGTTATTTTGGGTGATACCCCTAGTCAGCCACTTCTTATGGGACCTTAAAGAAGTCACTTAATCCCCCTTCAACCTTATTTTCTCTATCTGTAAAATGGATATAATAACACCTTTCTCATAGGCTCAACTTAAGTAGTATTATAAACATTATCTTAAACTCAGAAAGTCTAGTTTATGATAGAATTACACTTACTGCTGACTAAATATGCATACAGATTTTCACCTCATACACTGTAGATCTCTCTAGTACCGGGCAACCATTATGGATGACAATCAAACATTCGCATGGTATAAAACAAAGGAAGAGAACATCTTTCACCAGCAATGAGTGTCCAAGCCACATTTAAGGCTAAAAGTCCTTCCTCGGGAGCCACTATTTATTCTCTATACCTGTCATACTTTTATTAACAAGAAAAAAGGGGCTGGAGTGATAGTATAGCAGGTAGGATATTTGCTTTGCATGCGGTTGGCCCAGGTTTGATCCCTGGCATATATAGTACCACAAGTCCACCAGAAGTAATTCCTGAGCACAAAACAAAAGATACACATAAAGATGAATACCCATAAAGATGAATCTCAATTTCCAAAAGGACTAATTGATTCTGAATTAGCCAAATACTTACTTCATCTAGTTTTAGCAAAAAAAAAAATATGTATATATATAAACAAAAATCCTCACCGAGTAATAAAGTCTTTTATCAATGAAGTGCAATTTTTGGAAGAGCAAGTTTCAGATCAATGCCTTCTTAAATAACTGAAATAATATAAAGTATCATTCATAATCTCAACGAACAGTGGAAAACAGCATGTAGAACTAGGGTATGTTTTCTAGCAGATGAGACGTTTTGTACGCTGATATGTCTGTTATAGAAAGGAAATGATTCATGCATAATAGAAGATGAAAGATTTCATTCAGTTACAATACTTTCATTGTACTGAAAGGACGAGGAAGTCATGGATCACCCTATAGAACACCTTTGTA